GTTCATCAAGCTATCCAGTCTTCTGATTGGCTGGAAATAAAGCCCTGACTAAGGGACGACGTCAAAAGATCGATGTCGGATAAAAAACTTAATTCCTTTAGTTTTTTTCCAAACCCCCCTACCCCCCACTGAAACTTAATTGATAAATATTGGTCATGGCGTCAGACTACATTCACCATTAAATACAAATTGATAATCGGACAGTAGTATTGCATAGCAGTTGGCTGTCGGGTGGGTGTAAAAAGATTTTACAAAAGCACCGTATTTGACGCACAGATTTACACTCAAACCAAACCATTTTTCTGTTTTTTCCCTTTTCGGTTATTTCTGTCCATGATTGGATAGAAAAAAAACGAACTACAAATACTCCAAGATTATTTTGACTTCATTAAAAAATAAAATTGTTTTTGTCGGATGGAAACTTTTTGAGGTCAAAACCCCCCCACCCCCCACCCCCAAACTAAAGGGAATAAGTTTTTTATTCGACATTGATCTTTTGACGTCGTCCCTAACAAATGATTAAATTCATGCACAGAACTGGTTTGAAAGAGTGAACTGTATCTAAATTTCAAGCTACCCAGTCATCTTATTGGCTGGTAATAAAGCCCTGACTAACAAATGAGTAAACTCATCCACAGAAATGGTTTGAAAGAGTGAAATGTATCTAAATTTCAAGCTATCCAGTCTTCTGATTGGCTGGAAATAAAGCCCTGACTAACAAATGATTAAATTCATGCACAGAACTGGTTTGAAAGAGCTGAACGTATTAACCATTGAAAAGTATGCAATGGTGGTACAGTCAAACCTGTGTTAACGACCACCTGTGCAGAGCGGCCACCTGCTCATAGCGACCACCTTAGTACAGTCCCTTCGCAGTTTACACGTTAAAGACACTGGATATAGCGACCACCTGTCCAACGCGACCAGCGACCACTCTATTGTAGACCTATTCACACTTTAACCTTTGTATAACGACCACCAACATTTCCATCAGACAGTCTCGGCAAAAAGACAATAGCTACTTGCGAATCGCTAACAGGAAAGTGGCCATATGTTACGTTCAGATTACCGAGTACGCAATCTTTAGGGCTAATAGACAGGGGTGA